CATGTTTTGATAGTTAATATGCCGGTGATTTGATGCTTCACAAAAGTTGCAGACACCTTTACCAATATGAAAATGCTTTTGTAAACAACCAGTTATTCTTTACACCAATTAAAAAACGGCTACTATAATAAAGAAAATATTTTCTAAATGTAGAACTAAATACATTGATTTGCATTGAATGATGAATACACTTGACACATGAACGTGGAAAGCCTGCAGCTCACAACAAATGTGGAAGGTTATTGCGTGTCATATTTAACAAGCCGTTTACTGCTAATTTGATGTAATTTTGCTCACATGGATAATTGAATATTAATCAGATGATGTCATTACGCTGCTGTGCCGTCAGCCAATCGTTGCATTGCTGATCATGATTTCGAGGATCGATAGATCTGTCCTTCACAACACACGCAGCGATCTCAGATCAGTTTATCCAGACATTCTAATCTGATTCGCGAACTCGTTTGAAGAACCAAATTAGCGAGAGATCAGTTATCAAGATTAAAAGATCCGGGATCTGCCAAATAATCTTAGATAATTTAAGCGAGGTACGAAGAACGGACCCCAGCTCTAACAACAATAACAACAACAACAACAACACCCCGGAGCAACCCTCAACACCCCCTTTTATGGTCTTCTATTGTGTACCTGATCTTCCGTTTCCTCCCGACCCCGGAAGAAAGGTTTTGGAAGCTCGAGGGAGGGCAGAACAGAGCAGCGCCTCCTAGTGGCACTTTGAGAAAATGGGAGAACATTTTATTCGCCACAACTCGTTACAACAGAGGTCTGCAGAAGAGCATCTTTGAACGCACAACACGTCCAACCTTGAGGCAGATGGGCTACAGCAGCAGAAAACCACACCAGGTGCCACTCCTGTCAGCCAAGCACAGGAAACTAGCTACAATTTACACAGGCTCACGAAAACTGGACAATAGAAGATTGTAAAAAATGCTGCCTGGTCTAAGGTGTCTTGATTTCTGCTGCAAGATTCAGATGGTAGGGTCAGAATCTTCCGTCAACAACATGAAAGCATGGCTCCATCCTGCCTTGTATCAACAGTTTAGGCTGGTGGTGGTGGTGTAATGGTGTAGGGCAAATTATCTTGGCACACTTTGGGCCCATTAGTACCAATTGAGCATCGTGTCAACGCCACAGCCTACCTGAGTATTGTTGCTGACCATGTCCATCCCTCTATGACCACTGTACTCATCTGATGGCTACTTCCAGCAGGATAACAAGCCATGTCATAAAGCGTGAATCATCTCAGACGGTTTTTTTGAACATGACAATGAGTTCACTGCACTCAAACGGCCTTCACAGTCACCAGATCTCAATCCAACAGAGCACCTTAAGCATGAGTTAAAACGCGAGATTCGCATCATGGATGTGCAGCCGACAAATCTGCAGCAACTGTGTGATGCTATCATGTCAACATAGACCAAAATCTCTGAGGAATATTTCCAGTACCTTGCTGAGTCTATGCCACGAAGGATTAAAGTAGTTCTGAAGGCAAAAGGTGGTCACCACTGTACTAGTAAAGTATACCTAATAAAGTGGCCCGTAAGTGTATATGGCTAGCAAATAACTTTTCAATTCTGTATTATGTTAACTGACTGAATCTATAGTGATGTAGATTGTATCTTGTGATAGGAGATGTCATATCGCCCAGCCCTATCCAAGAACATCATGGAGTGGTTTGTTAGTTTACGTGCTAATTCTAGTACTCACCGGGCTGAAGCCTTGAAGGGATGATGTTGTGAAATGTCGCAGACATGGCATTGGTTGTCATACACTATGACACACTACACGAGAAGAAATGATTGAATCTCACATCACGACGGCAGTTTGTCATTTACGAATCCCCACAACACTTTGCCAAGAAAATTAGGCAAAATCTGTGAAAAATTTAGTAGTCTGACCTTAATACTCACGTTGACTTGATGGTGATGCAACGCTCTTGTTCATCACGCCTCGTATCCATGAATCGGGTTTCTCCAGCACAGGCTGAGCTGACGATACCAGCTTTTGACACCAGCCAATCTGTCAAAGTTGATTTGCCGTGATCAAAAGCTCCTATTACAGACATGTTACGGATGTTGGACTTCTTGTCCATGGTGGCACGGATCTGGTCTACATTGAAGTTCTCCTAAAGAAGTAAAATTAGGAGAAATTTAAAAGGAGGCATATTTCTAGTTTTAAAATATGCTACTTAGTATCCTTTTTCTATCCTTAAATTTATTGCTAAAAAAAAGACAATTTTTAACAAGGTAGCTTTGTTCATTCATTAATGTTGAAAACGGATGTCCATTGACATCCATAGCAAAAACTCAAACAGGTTAAGCACAAGACAGAGTAAGATTGATGTAAAGTTGGTTTTATATTCACAAATTCCTTTAGTGACAATTTGTAACACACTCCCTATATTGTTTACCATGATGCCTTGAATATTCGGTCTGAAATAACATGCAAGTATGATTTGTATTATTTAACTGGGAACAATGTTGTACTTTGGTAGTCACTGGCTGCTAATACGATTTCACTTAGAATTTGCAAAGAATACTTTTCTGAAATTATAATAGGGATAACGTGTGAATGTGTGAATATAAAACCAACTTCCCCTCAATGAGGGCAAGTAAATCACGCCAATTTTTATTTCTGTGTGAATTATTATATAATATTATATATATTAACTTACCCCTATATAATAAGGCAATACACCCTACTTAACACCATCGACTACCAATCGATAAGCCTGGATGTACTACTAAATTCAAAATCAGAGGTTCATATCTTGCCATTTTTTAGGACTTTATTAATAGGTAATATCCATATATAACAAACACCTTCACATTAACCTCGTTTTAATAAGAATGATGTCTGTTCTAATAAACAATGCGTTTAGATTACTTGTAATTACTATACTTACTATATTATTAACTATGAAAATATGGATTTTTAAATATTTCTGAATTCTAAAAAAAAACTTGTGAAAAGTTGAATATGAAAAATTAAAGCACTAAAAACACCGAGCTGAGAATAAATAAAGCTGACAGACTTTCAATAAAACAGCCAGAACAGGAAACAGTAAAGTTCTCTTATGATAGCTGCTAAACGCTAATAAGCTAATACTGGATTAAATAATCAAATGACCAAACTCTTTTAAACATTATTTGTCTAAAAAACGTATATAGACGAAAGCAATTCAAACGAGTCACTTCTGATAGCATGTACGTCACCCTCATTATAGTCAATGTTGGTGCTTAAAACGCAACTACATGCCAACTGTAGGTTAACTATTGCATATAATAAATAATTTCATAAATCGACTTACCATTTTGTCTAATGTTTTTGCATTCACTCAACAGTGAATGCACTTTCACGCCGCCTACCAGGGCGGAACCAAAGACTGTAAATTATAGGGCGGAACCGCCGATTATGTCGCGCGTTCTACGTTTTGTACGTAATGACGTCGGGTCATTCTTCACTTTGGTTTAGTAATTTTTAAAATTAATTCACATTGACACAGAAATCTACAGAAAATGCATTATAATATCACTAATATATGCATTTATTATTTTTTTATTTCGCTTCCTTAAAATCTTGACGCCTCTGTAGTTTCTGTTATGTCTATAAGTTATTTTACAGTCAGTATCAATCACTTGTTTACCTTTTTCTTGTAGTTGTGATACAGAATGGAACTGTCCAGTTATGTTTTGTATTCCTTTGATATTTACCTTGCGCATCGTGTTAATATTTACTTGTGGTTGTCAACTTAGTGCAAGATGTAGAAAACTAATTTTAGTCAGCTTACGTCATGTTCTATCTACAAAACCTAATATCTTGCTAACACATATTTGAGGTAATTTCCTAGCAGCCATTGCTGCCAGTTATTGTAAAATATACATATTTTGATTAAATTATATTTGACCATCACACAAGCTGAAGTTAATTTGCATTTTTCCTTGTCAGATAAAAAGTTTATCCTACTCATTTGTGCACACAAGTTCGTCTGCACGTTTAGCAAATGTCTGCATCCATTTGAAAAAATGCAGATCAGTGGCATCTATCTTAGAGATTTTAGCTCCAACCCTGATCCAACACACCTGAACCAATTAATTAGGACCTGAACAGCAATTACAGGCAGGTGTGTTTGATATGGGTTGATTGCAACTGAAATCTGCAGGAACAGGGTTGAGCACCTCTGATGTAGATCATAGGTCTCAAACTGAATTCCTGGAGGGGCACAGCTCTGCAGTTTTGCTCCAACCATATCAAACACATCTGACACAAATAATAGAAGTGTTCAAAAGCGTCTTAAACACCTAAATTAGTTGCATCCGCTGTGTTTGATTTGGAGCAAAACTGTGCAGAGCTGCCGCCCTCCAGGAATTCAGTTTGAGACCAACGATAGATTTAAAAAAGTAGATGGAAAGAGTCATTTTGTGAAGAAAGCATTTGACAGTGCACAAAACCTCCTGTAGTATTGTTATTGTCTTTGTTACAAAATACCATTTTTATTTCACTAAATCTAAATAGGTTTTGTTCGAACCTTAAATCAACCCTGATTAGTTACACCTGAGTCAGCTAATCAAGCTCTTCTAGGTATATTTTGGAAACTCCAAGGCAGGTGAATTTAAGAAAGGTAAACTATGCATGACAGGCCCTCCAGGACCATGTCTGGACACCACTGCCTTAGATCATATCAACTACGGCAAATCTTGGGTTCTAGCCAAATCATTTGTAAAGCTATCTCAGCAATCTCACACAGTACACTTATTTTATAAGTGTGAAGAGTGTAATTTTATAACTCTGATTTACATTTATTATTATTATGTAGTAATATAAATAATCTTTAAATAGAACAGAATCGACAGGATAATTTACATGGCACAATTGAAAGTATAACTGGGAGGAATAGACCTGCAGTACATTTAACAGGTTAAACAGCCTATATTAAATTACACATTTTTTAGATTATGAAAAAGAAGAGACGTTGCATTGCTGATCAAACAGGTTTTACATTTTATTTTTGCAGAGTTCAAAAAAATGAGACTTTCAGTATTGCATTAACATGGAGGTTGACTTCTAACATTTAACAATTACAGTAATTACAAAATATCAATTCATACTCAGTACATGCATATTCCAACAGTACCTTCTCCAATTCATTACATTAAGTTTCAGCACAAATCACAAACTTACACTAGGAATTGAGAAATCCCATCATTAGCCTGTTGCTCCATAATACAAGGTCCCCATGCTTCTTAAATACATATGAATTCCAGCCTATCTACAAACAAATGTAGGCTCTTAAAAGTGCTTGAATTTCTGGAGTTATTTCAACAACTGTACAGTTCTGCTTTCAGAAACTGAACAAAAACTGGGAAATTCAGACCATAGTTGAATATTACCAGTGTTAAATTCAACAAATTGTATTAAAGTTGTTTGAACAAGACTGTTTATCATTACTCTGATACTTTTAAATATTAAGTGTAAGGGAAATGTTAAAGTACAGTAAGAACTTAAGGTGCTACATAAGCTGAGGAAGTTTAATGATGTTTGATTTAAAATTAATGGTGCTTTAAAAATTCCTTGAAATTGCCGTTCATGAAAGAGTGGGAAACCCTGATAATAGGTGCCTTCGTAAGGCAGAAAACAAGTCATTAGTTATGAAGTAGGAGTAAACCTTCAAGTTTGTTTACTGCCACATCAGCAACTCCTGGCTATTTAATGGCAAGATCAACATTTTAATTTAGTGTTGTTTTATTTAATATAATTTCTCAGTTCAATATATGATACGTTAATTCTTCTTGAAAAGGCATTTAAATGAAAATAAAAAGTGCTCTTAGTATAAAATCTTCATCTAGTTGAGTTTAAAATTTCACAATCTATCAAAATGGGGACCCATTTAGCATTAAGTATATACAGTTTGGTCATGCCTGGTCTAAATTAATTTCAGAAAGTGCCTTTCGTTAATGCTCAGGTTAATCTCTTGCCATTTTTCATACATGTGCAAATTGAATTATAGGTTTGACATAAGAGGAATTAAACTTTTCAGAGAACCTGCCAGTATTAGGAAGGTGTTTAGCACATCTGAAGCATTTCTCTAATAAGTGGCATTTTCTTTCTTATGGTAGTTATAGGTTGGTCAGACTTATAAAGGTTTAAGTGCTTAAATACAAGATTTAAAGTCTGTGCAGATTGTAAACCTTATGTAAACCTACAATTAGTCCAAGTAGCAATGTAATGCTGGAATGGCTTCATCAAGGCCCTTGCTCTTTCGTATATCAGCCATAATATGAGCAACTTTGGAGGTAGGATCCATTGGGTCTCCAGGCAATATCTGCCAATGATCAAACACACACTGTGAGAAGGCTTGGCCAGATGTGTTGGCACAAAGGTCAGCTGTAAAACCTGCAGAAAAAAAGGAGAAACCTTTTACACTATGTAACAAATCATTAACTGGAGAAGACAAGCCAAGATTTTTCCAGCTTCACTCACCAAATGACTCGCTGACAGGCAAGTAAGCCTTGAGCAAATAAACAGGAGTTCCCATAACCTGGGACTCTGAAAACACTACTCCACGCCTCCTGACCAGTTCACCATAGACGTTACCAATAACCGACTCTGGGCACTGTAGGCAGATAACAAATGTGGTACAATTAGAGATTGGCATCAAATACCATTGGCATTAAAAGATCAATGAGCAGGAGTTTTAATGCTACTTTTATACCTGCATCTCCACCAGGTATATCGGCTCACTAAGCCTTGGTTCAGCTGTGAGCTGACAGCCATAAAGCACTCGGCGGGTTGCAACAATTATTTGACCTGGACCACGGTGAATGGCAGTAGAAGTCAAAGTTGCATCATGAATGTCAAAGCGAATGCCACGCATGTTCTCTGCGCACAAGACTCCCTAGAAAGCACAAAACGATTAAATAAAACAGAGCAGTGACTCAAACTAAAGCAAAAGGTGTCTAGTTGATTATAGAGGGACATCTTAATCCAATTGAACATAACCAAATTAGTCTTTGCAATTTAGAAAATCCCAGAAAGGTGTAAAGATGCAAAATTTATCAAGGTGGCGTTCACCTTAGAGAATCCAAAGGACACTCTAGATTATAAAGAAAGGTAAAACTGTCTTACATTAGAGTTATAATACAATGAATAAATGTTGTGCTTTTATCATACCTCTCTAGTGGCCCACTGAAATCCAGCAATCACACTGTCCTTAATCTCATTCAAGTATTGCACTCTCTTGGTCAAATCTACCAAGATGTTGGGTCCAGTTCCCTCAGGGCCAAAGCACCAGATCTTACGAGCTTCAGTCACTTCCCACTTATAGTTTTCAGCAAGGTATTGGGCACGGGCATTCATCTCCTGGCTGGCAGTGACCCGACCCTTATCAATATCTTCTGCAAGACCATCAGCCAGAGGACAGGCCTTCATGAAGAGACGACTGTGCTTGTTTGGCGTCTTGGCAAGGCACAATTGTTTGGAGCCATCACTGACCGTCTCTCTGTAGGAAGCAAATGGATCTGATTTCTGTAAAGAACAGCATGTTAGAGAACAATCATAGTTGGTATAATGTGTTGCCGATTGGACTAGCTATTGGTACCTTGAGGGGAATGCAGGCATGGTCCTCTTCAAGATCCTTAAGGCAAATCTCCAAGTGAAGCTCACCAGCTCCAGCAATGATATGTTCACCAGTATCCTCAATGATGCATTGCAACATGGGATCTGACTTGGCCAGATGCTTCAATCCCTCCACCAGTTTAGGAAGGTCAGCAGGGTCCATGACCTCCACGGACACTCTCACCACAGGACTGACACTAAACTTCATCACACGCATATTGTAGGCTTTTGTGAAAGTAGTGATGGTTCCAGTCTTTACCAAAAACTGATCCACCCCTAACAGACCTACAATATTGCCGCAGGGCACATCTTCAATGGGTTCAACGTAGCGACCCATCATTAGAACGGTCCTGAAAAACACAAAAACATGCAAAAAAAAAATTCACAAATAAATGGTTATTCACATTACCTAACAATTTTATTAAAAAGTGAGACAAATTTATATATATATATATATATATATATATATATATATATATATATATATATATATATATATATATATATATATATATATATATATTGGGAAAAAAAAAAAAAAAAAAAAGGACCTTTGGATGGGTTTCAGGTAAAGATCATCCTTTTTTCCAGGGGTGAAGTTGGGCCCCATAATGCGCACATTCAGGCCAGTGGAGACACAGCCAGAGAAGACGCGACCAAACGCATAAAAACAACCTTTGTCAGATGTTGGTATCATTTTAGAAATGTACATCATGAGAGGTGCTTTAGGATCACAATTCTTGATGCCTGAGAAAACAAACAAAACATTCAGGCTTTAACTACAAGCACAAACTTGATAAAGTTACAGAACATGAGGATTTTCTTGCTACAGTTTTTATACTCAAAAAGCAAAACATACCCATGGCAGCCTCATCATCTCCAGGTCCTTCATACAGCAGCTCACAGCGGTAAATCTGAGCAGTAACCGGTGAGGGCAGGTGGATGGTGATCATCTGAAGCAGAGCCTCTCCAGCCGGGAGCCAGCAACGCATCACAGCCTTCAGTAGGATTTTGCCCTCCTTCTCCTTGTCCTCCACATCTAGCTTGATGCCCATCTTCTCAATCAGCTTTACAGTTTCCTCCTTTTTGAAGTTCATGATGGCATCAAATACCTTTAGAGTGGGGAAGAATAAGATGTAATCTCTATGTAATATCCGTTTGCACATGACCATTAAATTAATATACTTTGTTATTGCCATATCAGATTGAAAATTCTCATCACAAGATATTCAGGTCAAAGTGAAGAATGTTTAAATCATCATCAATGGCTTGCATTAAAAACAGAATTGTTGCTAGTTTCCTCACTTTGAAGATGGGGTCCAGGACTAAGTGAACAAAAGTCCTGGGAAGCTTCTTGCCATCTGGCGATGTCGCAGACTCGCTGAACTTGCCAGTAGTAGAGTCAAAGTAGCTGCAAACAAATGGACATAAAATGTCACGTACAGAAATGCAACATTACATTCATTCAGTTGTGTTGGAACATCCTCTCACCTGTCGCCCCAAAGTCTCTTTATCATGTCCTCCACCTTCTTGATGTACTCTTCCGGTCCCAGCTGAGCTTTACCAGCGAACTTTTTCACATAGAGCTCAGCAAACTGCTTCAAAGTGAAGGCCCATCCATGCAGTCCAGATCCAAAGGCAAGATTACCAATGACAGGATCAATCTAAGATCAGGATGTTAAAAACATTCACAATGAATATTAGAAATAAGCCCAGAGATAAAACAGAAAGCATTAATGGACCCATGACGGAGCCTTGAGGCACTCACCATGACATTGCCCATAGGGCCTTTCTCATCCTCAGCATAGGTGGAGATGGTCACGTTGACTTTCTCAACAATGCGCTGAAAGATCTGGTACAGCTCTTCAGGGACCAACTGTAGCTCGAGCAAAGCTCGATCCATTTTGTTAATCATCAAAACTGGTTTAATCCTCTCACCAATGGCCTGTCTGAGCACAGTCTCTGTCTGTAAGCACACACCTGCCAAACAATGACATTTTTATAAGCGGCCCAAAAAACTATAGATTTAGTTACAGAATCAAAGTAAAGCATGCAAATCAAATTATACCAAGGAAGTCTTTGATTAATAAAACGGTCATTTGGGAAAAACAAACAAAAAAACTATTTCTGCACATACCAGACACACAATCCACCACCAGCAATGCTCCATCTGTGATACGCAGTGCAGCTGTAACTTCTGAAGAAAAGTCAACATGCCCAGGGGAGTCAATCAGGTTGAGGAGGAAGCCGGAGCCATCTTTGCACTCTTTAATGAAAGCCAAATCCTTTTCAGCAAGCTCATAGAATATGGAGATGGCCCTGTGTGGGTAAATTGGGAAAGTCCATTTATTAAAACGTTTGTGGATTTAAGGTTTATATTTCAGTCTTGCAATATACAATATGCCTTTAGACCCGTTCAGACTATGTAATTTTGTTTAATTATGAAGTTATTTTGAGTTATCTTGATGTGTTGTGGGTACTCAATATGCCAGACTACACGTTGGTTTACAGTCAATCTTTGCATGACGTCTATGATGTGCGTTCAAGTGTTTCCAACACACAGCAATTTACAAAATATATAGATGTGCTTTATGAATAAAAACTTTAGATGATTAAACGCATTCTGTTGCAGAAAGAGCTGCAGAAGCAGATTCCCAGCGATGGTAATAAATTAAATCAGCGATGCGCTCACAAATGCAAATGTTACTTCAACCTGACAAGGAAACTTTTAGCAGATAGCTGGTTGGTTACCTTTAAAGATACGTTCACTAAAAAAAAAAACAAAAAAAAAAAAAAAAACATATGAATAATAATTCGCAAAGAGAATGACAAACTAATGAGTGGTTAAAAGTTGACATGCTGATTCCAAAACTCACTGAAATTAGGGCTGTGCGATATGACAAAATACATGTATCTCAAGGCCACAATATAGTTTCATATATTATGTTCCATTTCATGGTGTCGCAAAATACATCGTACAGTAATTAGGGCTCAGTACAGTAAACAGTGCGGACTTGTCACTAAAATTTGTGCATTGAAACATAACGCCCAATGCACACAGGGCTTCAGCATCAACACTTGATAGAGGGTGTGTCTGAAGTTGGGGCTGATGAAATAGTCAGTGTCAGCCAATAAAACTAGTCAGCAATTGGCTACTGTCTGAGCTGGTGTATTTGCATACAGTGATCTGATTGGTGGAAACTTCCGTCTGCATTTAAAAAGTTGACAAAGTCCTAACTTCTGCAACGAACAACGCCACTGATGTCAAATACCCGAGTATTGTTGCCAACCATGTCCATTCATTTGTTTCATGTGCAGCCTACAAATCTGCAGCAACTGCATGATGCCATCATGTCAACATAGACCAAAATCTCAGAGGAATATTTCCAGTACCTTGTTGAATCTATGTCATGAAGGATTAAGGCAATTCTAAAGTCATAAGGGGGTCCAACCCAGTACTAGTAAGGTGTACTTAATAAAGTGGCCGGTGAGCCACTTTGAAACACTACTTGGCTTGTTTTGACAACTGAAAAATGTGGCTAACAAATAACTTTAAAATTATGTAATTATATTAACATATTAAATCTATAGTGATGTATATCGTCAATATCATATTGCCCAGCCCCATCTGAGTGCATCATGGAGTGGTTTGTTAGTTTAGATGCAAATTCCAGTACTTACCGGGCTGAAGGCTTGACGGGATGATGTCGTGAAGCGTCGCAGACATGGCATCAGTTGTTGTGCACTAACACTACACGAGAAGAAATAACTGAATCTCGCATCATAGCAACAATTTGACATTTACGAATCCCCACAACACTTTGCCGAGCAAATTGGGCCGAAATCAGGGAAAAAATTTAGTAGTCTGACCTTAATACTCACGTTGACTTGATGGTGATGCAACGCTCTTGTTCATCACGCCTCGTATCCATGAAACGGGTTTCTCCAGCACGGGCTGAGCTGACGATACCGGCTTCTGACACCAGCCAATCGGTCAAAGTTGATTTGCCATGATCAAAAGCTCCTATTACAGACATGTTACGGATGTTGGACTTCTTGTCCATGGTGGCACGGATCTGGTCTACATTGAAGTTCTCCTAAAGAAGTAAAATAAGGAGAAATATGAAAGGAGGCATATTTCTAGTTTTAAAATTCACTACTTGGTAACCTTTTACTATGCTTAAAGTTATTACTTATATATATATATATATATATATATATATATATATATATATATATATATATATATATATATATATATATATATATATATTGTTTACCATACCTTAAATATTCTGTCTGAAATAACATGCAAGTATCAACTGAACAACACTAGCACTATTTATTCGGCTGTAAACAATGTTGCACTGAGGGAGACTAAAATTTGCAAGGCAAGCAGATTTTGCATTTTTATTACACATTACCGTCTAAGTGCCCTAACTTCACGTTCAAAACGTGCTCAACCGAATGGTTGATTTGTCCCTTTATGGTGAACATAGAAAAGCAAAACTAATGTTTGCATAGTATGCATTTCTGCAGTCTGAATAGACTGTTTGCTCAGAAATAACTTATGGTCAGTCACAGAATAAATGTCACAGCTTATATATTCATAAATATACTGAGATGATAATAAATATATATATATATATATATATATATATATATATATATATATATATATATATATATATATATATATATACATATATATACACATACACACACATATACACACACACACACACTTTTAGGATATTTTCGGAGTAAATATAATGAATTCTGAATTCTTACAACTAACGTGTGAAAATCACAACTTTTAATCAAGAGTAATGAGGTCTGTTTCAATAAAACAAATCATGTATTTAGATTATCATTTACTGTGATTACTACTTCTTACTATATTATAAACTATGGGAATACGATTTTTTTCTGAGTTCCAAAGAACTAGTGAAAAGTTTTGAACATGAAAAATTAAGCTCTAAATACACCGAGTTGAGAATACAGCTAACTAGACTTTAACTAAAACAGGAAGCAAAAAGTAACGCAAGTGCTCTTATGATAGCTGCTACACGCTAACATTACACTGATAATGGATTAAAATATCAAATGACTAAACTCTTTTAAACATTATTTGTCTAAAAAAAAACTTCTAAAGACAAAAGTTAATTAAAACCAGTCACTTCCGAAACAGCATGTACTGCGCTTTCATTTTAGTCTATTTTAACCATTCTAAAGGGTTAAATCGCAACAAAACGTCAAACTGCATAAGGTTACTAACGTATAAAATAAATAACTTATTAAATCGACTCACCATTTTGCCTGATGTTTTTGGATTCGTTTAACAGTGAATTCACTATCATGCCGCCTACCACGGCGGACACAGGCAAAGAGACCGATGACGTTTACGCTCATGAATATATATACCAAGCGCGCGCTCTACGTTTCGTACGTAATGACGTCAGTGCATTGTTCACGTTTAAAGGTGAAAAAACTGTTAATTAACCTCTAAAAGAAAAGTCTGTCGTCTTTTATTAATGTACTCACGTTGATACTGAAATCTAGAGAGTACCATATAATATGTGCATTTTAAAAATGTTACTTTTCCGCCAGCAGGTGGCGCCTCATCCCTAAAATCAGGACGCCTTTATAATTTCTGTTGTAAAGTCTTGCAGTTACTGTTTTAGGTTTTACGCTATCATTCAATTGTTGTTTTTTTCCGTGTAGTTGAGATACAGAATGCAATCGGTAGAGGTGATATTAATCGGAAATGTATTTACAAGATCATACAGTTAGAAGTAGTGCGTTGTGTTCTGACTGGAACCATTTTGTTGTCAAATTACCCCACATGTCACTTTTTACAAGGTTTTACTGAAGAAGAAAATATGGTTATTGTAGTTAGCCTTAAATTGTAGCGATGGTAATTACGTATGAATTAAGGTTTTCCACAATTACATATGGTTCGTATAAACTGTTATATAGCATACAAAAGATGGATTAAAGCTACCATAAAACATCATTTGTTTTATTTATTTATTTAAAAAAAAAATATATATATATATATATATAGAGAGATAATGTGTGTTTGTAATGATCTGGGTGTTGGTGGTGTTGGTCTGGCAATTCATTCCCAGGTAGCAAAGAATTTTGGCCCAGATTTGACATAAAGCTGGCACAGCAGCCATTCATCCGGCTCTGGCATACAGCATGTGGCTCAAACATGGCCCAGGTTTGGCAGTGGTGGCACCGTCTGTAAGACATGGACCAGATGTCAATATTTGGCCCAGATGCCAATATTTGGCCCAGATGCTAAAATTGATATGTGTGCCCCATAAGTTTGGCCTATTTTGACCCACTTTCAAAATGCATTTTAATAATTTTTGGAGTAAATAAATATTTTGATGCACCGTTTTTAGGTTTATCTTTAGTGTATTGTTCATCACAATGTCATCTTTTATATTTACCGTTGAAGGCAAAATTATTAGCCTTCTTTTTCAAATGTTTACCAAGTGCTGTTTTCCACACAAGTCCAAAAGACATGCGCTATAGATTAGATTAGATTAGATTAGATTAGATTCAACTTTATTGTCATTACACATGTACAATACAAGGCAACGAAATGCAGTTTAGGTCTAACCAGCAGTGCAATAGTAGCAAGCGCAGGATACAGGTATACAAGTTATAAAGTGCAGTTATAGAAAAACTATGGTGATGTTTACAGATGATTGTACTATGATCATTATGTACAGGTTGTATTAGCTATGAACAGAGATTTGCAATAAATGAATATATGTACAGTTTGCTATTAATAATTAGAAGTGTGCAGATAGATAAACATAATTACAAATGTATCAGTGTGTATATAACTACAGATGTCCATATGCTGTGGGTATGTACAGTTCAAATAAGTGAATCAGTGCAATGTAGTGCAATGAATATGTACAATTTTTAAATGTGCACATGTTAAATAGTGCAGTGATTGTGAAGAGCAAAAGTTAGAGGAGAGTGGTGGGTGTAATAGGGGGGCAAAAGAGACAATGAGGGGCAGAGTTCAAAAGGGAGACAGCTCTGGGGAAAGAGCTGTTCCTCAGTCTGCTGGTTTTTGCCCAGCAAAAAACAGCAGAACTATTGAATAGGTGAATTAGGTAAGATAAAATTGTCAGTGTATGTGTGTGTGAATGAAAGTGTATGGATGTTTCCCAGAACTGCGTTGCAGCTGGAAGGACATCCACTGCATAAAACATTTGCTGGATAAGTTGGTGGTTCATTCCGCTGTGGCAAATAGAAAATGAATGAATGAATTTACTAACCCTTTCATTCATCACAAACCTGTTTGTTTCTTTATTCTAGTGAACACAAAAGAAGATATTTTGAGCAATGTTGGAAACAGGTAGCCATTGACATCCATAGTATTTGTTTTTACAATGAATGTCCAACATTTTTCAAAATATCCTCTTTTGTGTTCCACAAAATGACAATATAATATGAGTCATTTTTTTATTTTTGAGTATATTATTTTTTTATGCCTTTCAAATGACTAACTCGGATGGAAGTTTCATATTGAATGGCGGCCATATAACTAATCCTACAAGCATTAAATCTGCTAGATAAACAATATGTTAGACTTTGACTGAATATGTGATTCAGCATGGTTTGGCTAAGGACAAGCATTTGATTTGAAGCCAAAGGCACAAGAGCAGCCTGATGCATGCTCTCAAATATGATAACAGATTTTGCACTTCAGAGCGAGAATGTTTCATTTCTAAACACTTAGTGCTCTATTTCTGTTTGTCTTGCAGGCTTTTCTCATCAGGTTACAGACTGTGTACATCCAGATGGCTACAGCGCCCACGCGGACTGCATGTAAAATAGAGAACAGTGGTACACAAAAGTGTTTGTGCTCATGCCGTCCATGTGACGACAACAATGTAGGGCAGAAAAAAGAGACTGAAACCAAGTCAAGGTCACGAGGTCATTGAAAACAACTATTCTGAACCGAACCGAGAACAGAGGGTTTGTGACAGTGACACAATTGGACACCATCAGTCTGTCTAGCGATGAAATCAAAGTGACAGAAAAGAGCAGCTTGGTCAGGCGTGTGAGCCTTCAAACCTCTGTCTGAGTGGTAAGAAAGTATCAGTCAATAAATGAATTGAGCTGAAAAAAATAAAAATAAAAATATTCCAGTCTGCGCATTCATGACATGTTGGCTGCTGTCGCTTGAGCTTAGTTAAGTACTTTTTAGTGCCACTGAGTATGTAAGTGCTGTCGTGCTCCACTTTAAAAAGTGGTTGGAATTCTGAAAGTAATTCACTGTAGATGTGCTACAGAAAAAAAATAAAAATCTTGGTCATTGGTAATTTCTATACTGTGAAAAACATACCTCTAACAGAAGATTTCATGCAATATTACAGTGAAATACTGTGAATATAAATCTTGTTTTTTTGTAAATCTTAAAAATGAAAACATTAAATAATCTTCTAATGTCTCGTAGCAAACAAAGATCTTTCAGTTGTGTTTTTATTGTCATATACAGTAGACTGTGTAGTTATATTTATGGTTCTCAGTTTAGTATAAAGGTAAAAAACTAATTTTAGTCATTTTTGTTTTCATGTTCTATCTGTAAAACCTAAAAACACTTCGAGTTCACACTTAGCTGATGATTGATTATAAAGGCTGTTTGGCAAGCTGTCCCGGGAGAGAGCCCTGAGCTCATAAGATCCTTGTGCCCGGGGCTCCCTCCCATTTGCAAGGTGAGAGGGGAGTTTGAGCTCAGGTAGATCTCGAGAACTCTCCTGCTGTAGTAGCTAATGAACAGATTGTGATTGCTCTTAAGAGTTAACTACTTACTAGGAGCATGTCTATGATGCCGATTTGGATTATTCAATTAATTTAAGTTGCATGTTTTTAGATGATGGGAAGAAACCGAGGAACCCAAGGGAAACCCACGTTAGCACGGGGAGAACGTGAAACATAAATTGAACAATGAGGGGCCAGCTGCAAGCAATCATAAGCATGTGATTCTCTCGAAATTAGTTTATAAGTAAACTTTACAAATTTGAGGTAATTTTCTTGTAACTGCTGCTGTCAATATTTATTATAATTGCACATATTTTTATGGCTAAATTGCATTTGTCCAGAGGGCGGCACAGTGGCTTAGTGGTTAGCAGTTTTGCCTTACAGTAAGAAGGTTGCTGGTTTGAGTCCCGGCTAGGCCATTTGGCATTTCTGTGTGGAGTTTTCATGTTCTCCCCATGTTGGCGTGGGTTTCCACCCTTCTACTGTGGTGACCTCTTAAATAGAGACTAAGCCGAAGGAAAATGAATGAATGAATGAATGCATTGGTCCATCACCCAAGCTGAAGTCACAGGTAAGGGTCTGGTAGTCAACAACTGAAGTGGACAGAAGTGAATTCATATTTTGCAAGCCTGATCTTTTTTCTTTTTTTTCTCAGAACTGGTATTTTAATCACAGAAATTTATTTGCCAATTTTGTTAATCTTATAATTTTCACTGTGTTACTTTACTTTTAACTGTGAATTGTGAAATCTCACATTTCTGGGTTTTCTGAGGCTATATCGTCACCTTAGAATTATAAGGTTCTATCTGACATTTTTGTCAAAATTGAGTTATTCATATATTCTCTTTTATTGACAACTAATTTACATCATGGGATGTTTATTTTATAAGTTGTTTACATTTTAAGACTTTTTACTTAAAAAGCAATTGTTGCATACTGTATGGAATAGAATGGGAAAACTTTAAAGCTCATTATCTCAAAATCATTTAGAACGCAGATAGAACCTTATAATTCCAAGCTGACAAAATGTCTTAATATACATTCAATATATAAAAAAAATCGCAAGACGCTAACTTGAATTTTTTGACAGATATCAGAAATGTGAGATATTAACCATCAGATGCAGTTCTAACTTGAAGCTTCTGACTAAAAATAATGACTTTTAGATCTGAGATAAAAAGGCAGAACTGTTAGATATTATCTCATTATTAAAAGTAAAACTGTCACAGTTGTAAGAATTTACATCTATACTATTGTGTCATAGGTTTCATAGTCATTATAACGCATTAAAAGTTGTCCTGGACACTGCTAAGTCTTCAATGAAACATCTGTGAAGCTTCCGTATAGTAAATAAAGGTAAATACGTTGATGTATCAAAGGGGTCCTATTATGCCCCTTTTTGCAAGAAGTTAAATAAGTCTCTGATGTTCCTAGAATGTGTATGTGAAGTTATAGCTCAAAATTGCACATAAATACTTGTGTATAACTGATGGAAACGGCCCCTTTTAGGCTTTGATTTAAATTTTGCCTTTTGGGTAACTGTCGCTTTAAATTTAAATGAGTATGTGCTGTTTTCAAAACAAGGTGGAGCTACAAACACCTGTGCATCAGCATAGCAGCTGATTCAAAACAGGACTAATGTTATATCTGTGAAAAAAAGAACATGTGAGGTGTTTTAGAAGAAGGCAGTTTATAATCCTCTGTCGCTGACATTATCTTTACAAGGTAAAAACACTAATGGCTAACTGCTGCTTCTCACTCAGGGCTGTTTATGCTAATGAGGGAGAGATTGTCAAGGATGGGTTGGGCTTTCCCCCTCTGGTGTTTCTGCAGACTGTTTTTATCAAGTATTCATTCATTCATTCATTCATTCATTTTCTAGTCGGCTTAGTCCCTTTATTAATCCGGGGTTGCCACAGTGGAATGAACCGCCAACTTATCCAGCACATGTTTTATGCAGCGGATGCCCTTCCAGCTGCAACCCATCTCTGGGAAACATCCATACACACTCATACACCACGGACATTTTAGCCTATCCAATTCACCTGTACCGCATGTCTTTGTACTGTGCAGGAAACCAGAGCACCTTGAGGAAACTAACGCAAATGCAGGGAGATCATGCAAACTCCACACAGAAACGCCAACTGACCCAGCCGAGGCTTGAACCAGTGACCATTTTGCTGTAAGGCGACAGCTCTTCCTACTGCGCCAATGCAACGCCATTTATCAAGTATGATTATAAATAATTTAATTAATAAATTCATACCAATATTGGCTGTCTATATTCACACACTGATGCCACAAACTGTATTTAAACCACTTAAAATAAAATAAATTTTTGCCCAATAGGTCCTTTTTAAAGCAGAAGAGGGAGAAAGTATCCAGGAAAACCATCTGTCCTTGAGTTTTCCTTCAAATGTTCCCTGAAATTTAAACTCCATGTTGGAATTTCTGCCTTCTAATTATGTCTCTAGTGGAGCAGTACGTGATCGCTTTGTAAAACGGCAGCTGATGCTTTGAACCGTGTGCCTGACGCTGCTAACTTTGATGGTGAGTAAGCACAGTGGACTTACCTATATCCAGCGGTGCCATTAATGCCTGTTTAAAGTTTCCCTGCATATAAATGACAGCACAGTGTAATGGATGGCTGAAACCGTGCTTGTTAACGAACAGTAAGCAAAGAAACGGCTTCGGTAAATTCCAGCAAAGTCAGGTTGGTGCAAGATAGATTCCTTTGAGAATGAGAAAATATTATTTTTTTAAAGCTCGGCCCACACAATAGATGATTCATCTGTAAATCACGGTATGTTTTAAAGTTGGACAGAGCTGATCAGCCTCAAAGTTTTATGTGGCAAGTGATGAAAAAGTCTTCAGATAAGAATAGATGGTGATGTTTTTCTTGAAGAGGAGACACTGTGCCCTAAAAGATGATAGATTCCTGCGTCATTTAAAACAGCGTTTGGCGCCAAGAGCAGGATGCGAACGTCTGTATAATTCTGAAGTAAATATAGTGAAGTCATATGTTACAGTGAAGACTTGTGAAGACCGGCAGACACTGTAACGGATTAACTTTAATTTAATAATATCACCAAAATCAATCTGTAAGGGTGCGTTCACATCTGTGGTTTGGTTCATTTAGTCCAGACCAAGGGCAACAAATGATGCATTGTAGCATTTTAATGCCATTTTTGGGTCCTTTTCACACCACACTGATTGCTTTGGTCTGAACCAGTTGAAAAGAATCAAAATGCAGTCATGTGACAAAATCCACATCACCCATTCTCCAGATGTTATTGAACATATTTCCGAAACTGATTTTTGATTGGTCAGATTTAACGTGCAAGAAAATGCCAATGTAACTCCCGTAAGTAAACAAACTGGCAGACATAAAATGTCGCTTTTTACTATGAAGGGTCGACTTCGCTGGCTGATTGTATCCCTGGTCAAAGTATACTATATAGTTTGTATACATCACATTAGACAAACTATACATTTCGAGAATGAAGTGTGGCTGCGGCTGGAAAACAATGTTTTAATGCATTGCAAACAGCGAAGACGCGTCGCAAATCACTTCAGGAGGAGGAAATAATTTAGGTAAACTGCAACATGGTCATCTTCTTCCGGAAATATTACCAACGATTCATCAGGTAATGTCCCCCCCCCCCCCTCCTCTCTGTTTAAAATTGTTGGTAAAGCGCTGTCAACAAATATGTTTTCTTCACACCCCATAAGAAGGACTACAGCAACTGGATTAGTCCAAAAAGGCGCAGTACTTTTTGGGGTTGGGTCTGTTTTAGTTTGGATCATGTTCTCACCACTAATAAACCGCTTCAGGGTTTGTTTAAAAGTGTACTGAGACCACCACCCCAAGGAGGTCTCAGTACGCTTTTTTGGTCCGCTTTTGGAACACATTCGAGTGCGATTGCTATATTCACACCTGCCCAAATGAACCGCACCAAGAGGGAAAACAAACTCTAGTATGATTCAACCAGCGTTGTCAACTATTTTCAACGAACAGTACTAAGCTCTGCCTGAAAAGTCGCTAAATGTCGTTAGGTTACATCATACGTCAATTTGCATATTACTAACGTCATTACATTCAACGGTTTCCGTTTGTTTAACAGCCTATGGTTAATAAAGGGTCAGATGCATTGTATTTAGTGTTTATTGTACAGTATATTAGCACTACACTTAATGTAAGTCAATTTAACTGAATTTATTGCTTTTTAAAAAAAAAGTTGCTAGATTTGTTGCTAGTCGCTTTTTTGAAAATTTGTTTCTAGAGGGGTCTGAAAAGTCACTAAATATACCAACACTGCAAATATACTAATATATTAAATATAGTTAAACTGGATTCAACCGAACTAAATAAGGCAAGTGTAAAACACCCTAAATCAAACCAAATCAGTCTGATGCAAGCTTATTTTAGTAAACAAAAAACTAAAACTATACAATATTGATAAAAAAAACATTTTTGTTAATTTAAATAACAAATACAATCAAGATAATAATTATAAAAAACAAATACTAAACTAAACCAACAGTCAGTGAAAAGCTAACTGAAACAAAATAATAATTATCAAAAATAAAAACTAATTCCAGAATTCATAAGCACTCAATATTTTTAGAAACACAACAGTTGATGGTGCTTTTACAGCCAAACACACCAGTCAAAACAACAAAAAACTATTTCTATATAAGCATAAAACGAGTTCTAACTTGCCCAAAAATGTATTATTAGCATATTTAATTGCATATACATGATTTTCATATGAAGAAGATTGTCTAAATTGTGACTATTTTTCGCTGCATTTGTATATGGTTTTGGATTCAGTGTCTGTTAAAATGTTAGCGTTAATGTAAGCTGTGCAAACACTAAACTTTGCTCTGTTAACTGTGATAAACAAGAATTACTAAATCTAAAACTGAAACTAAGTATTTGTTAAATGTAAAATGTGTTTTAAAATATAATAAAACTAACTAAAACTAATAAACAAAAACTAAACTGAAATGTACAACACATTTTTAAATAATATCAAAATAAAAGCTAATTTTATTTTAACCTTAATATGATGAAGTCAGAGTAATATAAAAATTATATTACAATAAAGATTACTCAAAAGAACTCAGATATTAAGAACAGGATACAAACAATATGCTTATAAAAGCAGTAAAAAGACAAAGAAAATTGATTTCACAACATTTATTTTAAAATGAATCATCATCATTACAATATTCACTGTGCATTGTCTCAGCACTATCAAAACTGTGTAAAAGGTCAAATTACCTCAGACAGAAAGGAAAATATGACCTTTGAACTATGGATTAGGTGTTGTCCCATAACAAACACCTGAATCCCTTATTTGGAAGTGCACTGAATCGTTGAACTGACTTTAAGGATCCCGTAGACTGTCAGAATAAAATCTGCAAATATTATACCTTCTTCCAGCTGTGTTTGTACAAAAAAGTTTCCGCCATCATTTTTAGATTTTCAGGTTGCTCTTTTAATATGCTTTACCTCATCTGACTTGAGTCTCACTACTAAAGTGGACAATCTGAATGCTAAAGATATCTAGTCAGTACAAACTACCACCACATAAGTGTTAATGTTTGGTTAAAATGCAAAATAGACCATTTCTTGGGGGTGATTTCTCCCATTTTTATTTTGGTTTTTATCTTACATCCTAACAAAGAACAGCCAATCAAAAGTAGACCAGAGAATCATGACCTGACTGTTGCGTTGGAGTTTGTACTTTGTCCTGGGTGAGCAGAGGGACACAGACAGAGTCAAGACAGATATTTGGGTTTTGCCCAATTTTTGGCGTTTTTTCAAGGATTATTTGGAGTGTATCACAGCAATGGATCACTATTCAGACCAGGTAGGTGCTGTTGGGAATTTCACATTCATTTCAGACAAAAAAATTGGTATTAGATGTAGCGTATGTTATCTACCCTGCCTGGGTAATATCTCATACAGAGCAAAGTTCAGAAAAATGCAAAAGTTATCTTTCCTTCTTGTTTCAATGTTTGCTCGCTTTCAACAATTTTCTCAGCTTCCATCCATTTTCTGTCTTGTATTTTCCATTGATTCCCTCTGACAGCGTGTGAAATAAAAGCAAATATATTGACTGTCTCATAGGGCGGTGATGGGATAGAACTTCTTGATTTGCTTTTTGACAAGAATGATGGCATCTTACGCTATGAGAATATGGGACAACAGAACAATCAGCTTTGGCCAGTTCAAGATCCTCATGTAAGTCAACGTTAACTAAGTCTGACTTAAATTATTTTATCAGGTGACAAATAAGGGTGCATTCACACTTGGTTAGAGTATGTAAGGGAGTAATACAACTAATACCAACACAATCTCAGCAATTCGTAACTTTTAATGTAGTAGCTAATTCGTATGAATTTGAACAATCAAATTCATACAATTTAGTACGATTTGCTTATTAACCAATGTCATTTGGGTTTAAGGGTGGTGTTGGGTGCCACACCTCCTATTTAAAATCTTACATTTTCATACGACTGAACTCTAAAGCCACTAAACTGTCAAAACGTAAAAAAACTATGTTTTCTTGTGATAATTGGCTGCTAGTACAGCTAGTAATGTTTTGCTTAGTATTCATACAGTCATTATTAAGATCGAAACCTGAAATTACATAACAAACAGAAGCAAAAAAAAAAAAAAAAAAGGCTTGTACATTTCGAGAAAGAACTTACCAGACATCTAAAACCGTAGGGAAAAACTAATGCAATCTGATGACAATTCGTAACTTTTTATATAGTGGCTAATTCATATTAACTTGAACAACTCATTTGTACATTTTAGAACAAAATTTGCCGATCCACCAATGAGGGGTGATGTTTGAGGGCAACAAAACATTTACATTTTCATACTTATTAATTTTTATGAATATATACTAAATAGACACTTTTCTGACAATACGTAAAATAGTTACGTTTCCTTGTGAGATTGGGCTGGTTAAACTTTTTTTGTATGTGTGTGTTTTAGTTTATTTAGTTAGTTATTTTATTTATTTTATTATATTTATTTTATTTATTTATTTAGTTAGTTAGTTATTTTAGTTGTGTCTCAAAGTGTGATTTTATTATATCTTGTGACATAATTTCTTGTTTTTGGTTCATTTAGAATTAGTCTTGATGTCTTCAGTTAAATCATGGTACTCATTTTTCAGTGTTGTTTGGTGCACATCAGACATGCCTAAAAAGGATAACATACTCAAACATGAAAAACTGTCATCAATTACTCACCTTCCCAGCAGGCACAGGACATCAACATGATGTCAGATTGGTGTAGCACCACAACGTCGTGGGACGTTGCACTTGATTTGGAAATGAAAATCGGGTTGACGTCAGAACCCAACTTCTGGCCGACGTCAATGTCCAACATCAGACAGACGTTGCGTTTCGGTCACTTTCCAACGCAACCTAAAACAACTAAACATCAACTATGTTACAGCTTGATGTTGTGTGGCTAGTACCAATATGACTTCTATCAGATGTTGGCTTTTAGTTGCCATACCTGGCGAATAAATGTCAGCATTTGACGTCAATATGACATTACTTTAAGATGTTGATGCTCGACGTTGGATTTTGGTGACTTTCCAACACAACCAAAAATCAACATTTGACTTCATTATTGAACGTCAAAATAACATTGTCCTTAGATGTCTTATGATGTTGTGTGTCTGCTGGGTTCACACACCAAAAAGTGCTTTTCTTACTTAAGAAATTACAGTTTTTTTTGTCTTGTTTTAAGTCCAAATATTTAAAAAATATTAAATCAAGAAACATTTTCAAGACAAGCAAAACATATGTCTTGTTTTAATAAAAAAGCTACCAAAATAAGCTATATGCACAGCTTGGGCTCTATTTTGACAATATAGGCGCAAAGTTCAAAGCGCAGGGCACAAAAGCATTAAGGGCATGTCGGAATCCACTTTTGCTATTTTAAAGATGGAAAAATCTGCTTTGGGTCATGGCGCATGGTCTAACAGGGTTGAGCTTATTCTCTTAATTAGTTATAGGTGTGTTTTGAGAATAAACCATTCAGAGTTTCATCTCCCATTCCCTTTAAGAGTCAGTTGCGTCGCACCATAGCACATTTGCTATTTACATGGCGGACTGTGTAAGTGGAAAAACTGAACTCTTCACCAGCGAGAAAACAGTGAAATGTAGTATCTACAGCACTAGAATGAGAGAATGAGCCTCCTTATTCTTTACTTTCACTCATGTTGTACGCACAGACACCCATTAGCCCACATAATTAATTTAGTTTGTTAAGCGCAAAGATTTGTTTCAAAACGATTTCTAAATTCAGTTCTAATTTCCACCAAATTAATAAATGAGCACTAATACCAAAGTGTGGTCAAAAAAATGTTTTTCTTCCAAATACACATGCTATGCCCCATATGGTTTAAAACCTGACAGGTGGGCAAATCTAAGCTTGCTTTTTAATGAAACAAATATAAATATGCATGTAATAAATAATACTGCTTATAATAATAACATTAAACAAAAGCAAATTGTCATTAATAAATAGAAAAAGCACCCCCGAGATGAAAAAGGCATGGAGGCGGTGGTTTTTACATTTATGTAGGCTAGAAAATTATAAAATTTATTTCTTTTTCATTTGTAAAGATATTTGCGTACTGCTGTACATCCTGTGTGTATTAAGCAATGTTTAAACGAGGCGCACAACTAACGTGCTCTGCACTGGACTTTAGACCTCCTCTCAGCTGGTCTATTGAACAGTCTAATTTAGTTCCTTAAAATAGCAACGCACCAGCAATGTGCCTTAACACACCTCTTTTTTTTAGACCAGAACGCCTATGGGCGCACATGAGCGCAAATGCATTTGCTATTTAAACAGCTTGCTGCAAAACGTCAAAATGACTCTTGCGCCGAGCTGAAACTAGCAAACAACAATTGCGTTGCGCCATGCGCCACATTACGCCTGGTGTATGATAGGGCCCTATGTAATCTTTGTTCATTTTGCACATACAATGGAAGTCCAAACATAGGACCCAATTGACTTACAAAAGTAATTTTCCGAAATTGTAAATGGTTTGAAGAATATAATAAGGCATAATTCACAGTCCTCTATTTTTGACTGCCAGATGATGATGACCCCGCAGGGCAACGAGGACTTCTTCAACGCACTTATAGGTGGCAGTGACTCTGTTTCTGGATCTCCTGTTTGGTCGCCCTCTCCTAGCGACAGCGGGATCAGCGAAGACCCTCATTCAGATCACATCGACAGTCCTCCACCGAATGCAAGCCCACCAATGGAGCCTCACATTGTCGTATCCCAGACTCAACACAGTCTCAACATCAACTTCCCTTTTGATTTCAGTGAGTACAAAGAATCTGTAAAGCCAACCATCCTGGTGACTCAAGATTGATTTACAGAGTAAACACAGATGATCAGTCTCCCACTTGTTGATTATGCATTATTTTGGTATACTTTAAAAAAAATGCTCAATTCCAGCGCATTGTGAATATCTTCACACTCAAACAATGGATGATAAATAGTATTATCTGTGTCTGCAGATGGCTGGGAGACTGGTTTCCTCCCAGATCAGTCCGGAGGGACGCAGTGTGCATCTGAAACGCCACAGGCACAACAGACCACTGGATTCCCCCTAACTGTCAAGGACCTGCTGCTATCTGGCACACCAGAGCCTGTGAGTTTGCACTCAGGCGTGAAGCTAGTTAAAATACACAAGGCAGAATAGGGAAAAGGTGAACTTTACTGCAGATAAAAGGTGAAGTCGATAGGTTCCTGACCGTCCAGGCACACAGACATGCTCACTGAATTTGTTGCTTTTTGCCATTCCAGGCCGCGAAGGTGTCTCAGCAGTCCTACCAGGAGCTGATTCTCACAGAGGATGAGAAACGACTGCTTGCCAAGGAAGGGATGACACTGCCAAATCAGTTCCCGCTCACCAAGGTATGCCTTCAGCTGGCAATTGCTCCGTAATAGTAGAGTGCACTCATTTGTCTTTGTAGCTCAATGTTTCTGCTTCCCTCCCGTGATCAAGTATGAGGAGAGGATTCTGAAGAAAATCCGCCGAAAGATCCGCAACAAGCAGTCTGCCCAGGAGAGCAGGAAGAAGAAGAAAGAATACATCGATGGCCTGGAGAGCAGGTATCGACTGTTGTTCTTGAACAAATGAAGCAAAAGCGGAAGCTATACGTGTGTCGAATCACGTAGCAAAAATCATAATCCGAGCTAATGAAATTTGCAGCTACTGAACACAAACCCCCCTGGCAAGATACCAGGTTGAAGTTTACTGCTGTGTTTGAGAGTGGATTTGATTACTTACTCGGTTCTTACAGGAAATCTGTTTTTTTTTTTTGTTGTTGTTGTTTTTTGTAGGATGGCGGCATGCAGCGCGCACAACCATGAGCTGCAGAGGAAAGTCTTCCAGCTGGAGAAGTGTAACATGTGAGGGAATCATTTACTTGGGATCTTCACACTCCATATGTGCCCCTGAAAATCAACTTATTACCCCCCTCTCTCTTTCCATTTCAGATCCCTGATGGAACAACTGCGTCGGCTGCAGGCGCTGGTCATGAACGGATCCAACAAACCGGTCCAGGCTGGAACCTGTGTTCTGGTGAGAGTTAAAAGCAGCAAAAATTAGCACATAAAAGATACAGTCATACAGTAATCATGATTTGGGCATTTGGAAACACACCCTTACACACATGAATAACAAATATTTGTACTAATGTTTTTTTTTTTTCTCTCAGCATCTATACTATACAAAAGGCAACATGAAATAAAAATGGCAATTGAATTTTTTCAAACACTAATTAATTTGATTGAATGACTTAATGGTACATTTTATTTATTAATTCATAATGTTTTCTGATGTTTTCATTATATTAATAAAGACATATCTGCATTTATCAGAATAAACAACAAAAGTTAGTCCAAGGCTCTCGAAAAATGTGGAAAAAAGCCTTTATTGACATGGCTATTCCCTAAATCTGCACCTAAGTGTTTAGACAAAAATTTGCCTTTATCAGAGTAACATCAATTAGATGCATCTGTAGTTTCTTTTGAACACTATGGTCTCATAACCCATTAGAAGATCTACACAATATTACAATAATATATTGAACACAAGGTCAAGGTATTCTAATGAGTCACGAGACCATAGTTTTCAAAAGAAACTCCACGTACCTGATCTCTGTCCACTGTAAAAAGAAATCTGTTATTTTACGTTATTTTACCCCAGCTTTTTTTACAGTGCTGTTGGAGGTAAGTGTTTGGCAAAATGAGTAAGTGCAGATTTAAAGAACAGCCATGTCAATAACGGTTTTAATATATGTCTTCCACATTTTTTGAGTGCCTTGGACTGACTTTTGCTGTTTATTCTGATAAATCCCTTACCCAAAGAGCACTGCCACATTATTTAAGGCACCCCTTAAGCCACCACTTTTTGTTTGATTTTGGATATTTGTATTAATATTTTGTGTGAGGAAAAAAAAGTAAGTTGGTTTGTAAAACTATAAATAGAATTATGAATGACTTTTAATTAAACTAGATTTTATGTTAACATTGAACCAACAATAATTTAAGATATATTTGGATTTGCCTAGAAAGATGCACTTCAATTATAAAAATAGGTCATACATTTACTAAACAAGTGTTTAATCTTTAAGTCGCAATCTGTAAAATCTTAGATTATGTTAACATGTTTTTTTATTTATCAAAGCATTAAATGGACCAAAAATAACAATATAGAAATGCGTATTATATTCTACTTCAAATAATTTTTAATTTGATACATTTATTCTTTGAAGAACCCTGAATAAGACAAAATATTAAGCAGAACAATTGTTTTAAACATTAACAATAAAAATATTACATATTTTTTGAGCACCAATCAAAATACAAATATTTCTAAAGTATCCCAAAACACTGAAGCACTGAACCATTAAATGAGCATTAGTTGAAAATGCCAAATCTGTTTGAGTCCAAAGACATGCTGTACAGGTAAATTGAATATACTTAACTAGCCATAAGGTGTGTGTCTGTGTGTGTATGTGTGTGTGTGTGTGTGTGTGTGTGTGTGTGTGTGAGAATGTGAGTATATGGGTGTTTCCCATTAGTGGGTTGCAGCTAGAAGGGCATTCGCTGTATAAAACATATGCTGGATAAGTTGGCAGTTGATTCCGCTGTGGCGACCCCTGATGAATAATGGGATTAAGCAGAAGGAAAGGAGGCACCTGAAGAACTAAAGTCTCACACTGTGGTGCACTTTAAAACGCTGACTGACAAATGCTCTCAAAGCAATCATCAGTGTCCCTCAACATGAAGGAAGCAAGGAAACACAGCAATTGCATAGCAAAGAGCTCCAATCTCCAGCTACTTGAGAGAACACACTTCCAGAACTGATGTTACAGCAAACTCGTGCTTTGCTAATGGTCGTCTGTGCCGCTAAACTCAAGTTCTCCATCTGATGCTGTCCCTCAGGTGCTGCTTCTGTCCTTCACCTTGATTCTGCTGCCCAATCTGAAGCCCTTCACAGACACCAAGGTCAGTCAACATGGAGACTTCAGCCCAATGAGAGGTGAGTTTTCTGCCTGAAATGTCTCTTCGATCCAGTCCTCATGGGGAAAAAGCCATTAGAACTTCCTTATATCCTTTCACCACTAACTCGAGAGGAAAATGTCATGCTTGAAGAACAAGGGCTTCTTGAATCTTTGTAATGTATCATTTGGTTGACAAGTTATTAGACTCTGGCTGAAACCTTATGACAGTTATTGGACGGACTGAGATGTAAAAGAATGGCAAACAGCTTAGTCATGTTCCCACACGTTGAATCAACGGCGTGGAAGAAAAGCTGTAATTTGTCCTCATCAAACCACTGTCAGTGTTTCTGAAGGGAATCAATTTTTATTCTGCAGGCTAAGCGCAGGTCATGGTTAAAGTTTGGCACACTTGGTAAATGTCTTCTTCGATTAGCGTCCCGACGCAGCTCTTTTGAAGTGAGTAGCAACATTTTTGGGAAAAAAAGAACAGGGTAAAATATGTCACAACGTGATTTGACTGTTTATTTCACCCACGGATTTAAATTAAATAGAATTTGCTATTCATAAGTTTGATGAATGTGGCGTTCAAAACTTCTGGGGCTTTTATGTATCAAGCGGGCTCCTTGATGTCAAAATGACATCAAAAATACGTAAAAAGTGCAAATCAGTTTGATGATAATTGACTCTCTTGATGTCACACAACATGTTTTATGATACCAATGTTAGATGTCATTTTGATATCAAGGCCGTTTACATGCACTGTAGGGAAACAGAATCCAGGGTAAATTTGGAATCGAAGGTTTCAGATGAATAAGACTTTTATTATAATAATTGCGGTCAAAAGGGATTGTTGACGTCAACTGAAGGTTTTGACATCAAATCGATTTGTTTTTTGACGTCATGCTGTATGTCAATGTCATTTTAACTTCAAGGTGCTCGCTGGGTACTAAAGATTTTATTAAAAGCAACATTTTAGTCAGTGAAAGTCAGATTTCAACAGTTTTGAAAATGTTTGTTACACTGCAAAAAGTGATTAGTTCCCTTTACTTAAAAAAGTGGATTAACCTGTTGCTTTTAAAGCGATTATTTGCCTCAACTTTAAAAAGTGAGTAAATCTGTTGCTTTTAAAGCGAGTAGTTGCCTCAACTTAAAAACGTGAGTTAAGCTGTTGCTTTTAAAGTGCTTAGTTGCCTCAACTTAAAAAAAGTAGATAAACCTGTTGCTTTTAAAGTGCTTAGTTGCCTCAACTTAAAAAAAGGGGTAAATCTGATGCTTTTAAAGCGATTAGTTGCCTCAACTTAAAAAAGTGAGTTAAGCTGTTGCTTTTAAAGTGCTTAGTTGCCTCAACTTAAAAAAGTGGGTAAATCTGATGCTTTTAAAGCGATTAGTTGCCTCAACTTAAAAAAGTGAGTAAACCTGTTGCTTTTAAAGTGCTTAGTTGCCTCAACTTAAAAAAGTGGATAAACCTGTTGCTTTTAAAGTGCTTAGTTGCCTCAACTTAAAGAAAGTGGGTAAATCTGATGCTTTTAAAGCGATTAGTTGCCTCAACTTAAAAAAGTGAGTTAAGCTATTGCTTTTAAAGTGCTTAGTTGCCTCAACTTAAAAAAGTGGGTAAATCTGATGCTTTAAAAGCGATTAGTTGCCTTAACTTAAAAAAGTGAGTTAAGCTGTTGCTTTTAAAGTGCTTAGTTGCCTCAACTTAAAAAAGTGGGTAAATCTGATGCTTTTAAAGCGATTAGTTGCCTCAACTTAAAAAAGTGAGTTAAGCTGTTGCTTTTAAAGTGCTTAGTTGCCTCAACTTAAAAAAGTGGGTAAATCTGATGCTTTTAAAGTGTTTAGTTGCCTCAACTTAAAAAAGTGGATTAACCTGTTGCATTTAAAGTGTTTAGTTGCCTCAACTTAAAAAAGTGGATTAACCTGTTGCTTTTAAAGTGCTTAGTTGCCTTAACTTAAAAAAGTGGATAAACCTGTTGCTTTTAAAGCAATTAGTTGCCTCAACTTAAAAACGTGGATAATCCTGTTGCTTTTAAAACGATTAGTTGCCTCAACTTAAAAACGTGGATAATCCTGTTGCTTTTAAAACGATTAGTTGCCTCAACTTAAAAACGTGGATAATCCTGTTGCTTTTAAACCGATAAGTTGCTTTTACTTAAAAAAGCGTGTAAAGTTATTGACTTAAAATGATTAATGGAATAAACCATGTGCATAATTATAAAAATTAAGTCAACATCACATTTCCAAGTAACTATTTTAATTGAAGTCAACTTTTAGCTTTTAGGGCAACAGGATTACGCATTTTAAGTAAAGTAACCAATTGCTTATTACAGTGCACATTTCAAATCACATTTATGCATCATTTTCATTACTTTCGTGTGAAGTCAAAAATTGCAATGTTTATTTTGCTAACCCACATTGTTCACTCAAAGTCTGACCATTTGCATCCACATTTGGAGTAGTGGTCCGTCTCTCTTGGCGTCAGTTTTACAGCCTCAGCCACAATACTCTTACAAGCCCCTCTTACTGTATCATTTACACCCCACCAAACACATAAGTCCAATATCGTTTTTCAAAAATGAGTGTACCCAGTTACCAAGAAGACCGTTGTGTAATTGAATAACTTGTGATGAAATATTAAACATGATGTTTTATACAGAAAAAAAACTATATTAATAGGTCAAAAAGAATACGTCCCATTTTAGTCTCGGCATTCAATTCAATTTGCAGAAGTGATTTTATATGCATAGAAAGCATATTAAATGAAAGTAATGCCTCTATGTTTATGTTCCAAACAACTTTGGTGAAAATAAAATGTCACACAATACGGAAGTGGAATATGGAAATAATTGTTTGGCTTAACAGATTCATAGAATAATGTAATAACTAGTTGTAAGTAATGCTTACTCTGACCTACAGTATACATAATGTATATCAAAATATCTTATTTTGTGTTCAAAGAAAAAAAAAAAAAAACCCATAACGATTTGGAGTTTGAGTAAATAATAAATATATTTTTCTTTTGAGTGAACTGTCCCTTTTTAATACAAAACAATATAAAAGACACAGTGACATTTACTTTCGAAAAATCTAGGGTGAAATATGACTTTCTTAAAGTCCATTGGGCTAAAAGTGTTGAAAGTAACTCCATAATAAAATATCAAATCAACTGGGGTTTCCTTCAAAGACTGAAACCACAGACACACTTTTCACAAGAAGTCGGAAGCATTTTTTCTTACCTTTTCTTAACCTTTTGCAGTTCAGTCACAGTCACTGCACAACCTTCAGCCTTCCCTCTCTTTTTCAAGTACCATTTATATTTCATTGTTTTGTAAGGTTATTTAAAATGATAATTACTTATGCAAGAAGCAAAGTTTGTCTTTTTCCATCTTTTAAGGTATAACAATATACACAACCTAACAAATGTTGTCAATTCAAACTGTAAAAGCAACAAATAATAACTTGACTTCAATTTGATCATTTGGAAAAGTGGCAGAAGGTAGATTATTTCGATGAGTCATCTGTTGAACTGCATCTCAATCATCACAAACACAGCAGAATATCTATTGGAACTTGCGTGGACCCAAGATTCTCACAGATATCAGTCAAGTTTGATGAAGGAAAAATCATGGTTTGGGGTTATATTCAGTATGGGGTGTGCGAATCGAGAAATCTTGATCAAGAAGTATCAAGAAATTTGTGCTGCCCATTACATTAAAAAACACAGGAGAGGACAAATTCTTCAGCAGGATAGCGCTCATACTTCAGCCTCCACATCAAAGATCCTGAAAGCAAAGAAGGTCAAGGTGCTCCAGGATTGGCCAGCCCAGTCACCAGAAATGAACATTATTGAGCATGTCTGGGGTAAGATGATGGAGGAGGCATTAAAGATGAATCTACAGAATCTTGATGAACTCTGGGAGTCCTGCAAGAATGATTCTTTGCCATTCCAGATGACTTTATTAGTTAGTTATTTGAGTCATTGCAGAGATGTATGGATGCAGTCCTTCAAGCTCATGGGAGTCACACACAATATTAATTCTTCCTCCACTGCACCATGACTTTATATTCTATACTGTACATTATTTCTGTTAACTGACAAGACTTTTGTCTTTTGACTTTTGTCAAAGTCAGACCTTACTGTCTGTTTCTAATTAAATAATTAAAAATCAAGACATGATTAAATATTTTTTGTGGTAAAATAAGTGTAATCTAGAGGCCTTTGCCTTTCATATAAACCAATTCTGATACCAAATGATCAACCAGAAGTCAAGTTATTATTTGTTGTTTCTAAAACTTGGATACCTGACAAGACTTCTGTCAGGTAGTGTATATAAATGGTGAACTAGTTATAAACAATTTTTATAACCAGTGCCAACTATTTCAACTGTTCATCATTAAATGTTGTATCAACATTGAAACTGTCAAGAAATGCAAAGAACTGACATTATTGCAACCATATTTCTGTGTGGAAGGTTGGGTACAGATTTATACAGTGGCCGAGAGCTTAATGCGCTGAAATTTAAGAAAGCATATGCAATTACAAAAAACACCAGCAAATACAGAAGAGATCTTCATCAGTTTGACAGCACACATGTTGCAAATTGGTCACAACACAAACAACTGAAGGAAATGTGCACCAAATTGGTCACAACACTTGCAAATATGCACGTAACACAACAGAAATGTTTCAAGGGGACACAAAAACAAGACGGAACCTTCTAGATTCAAATACTGACCAATGTTAATTAACTACATGTACTTACTATGGTTAGGGTTAAGATGAGGCTAAGGTTTATGGTTAGTTATGTGTAATTAAAATTAACTTATTGTTGTTCCACTGGCATGTGAAATGTTAGTAACAACCCCGCTAAAAACTCCAACAAACAATACAATAATTAGGCTATAAAAGTTACCAATGTTCCCTATACGAATACCATTAAAACCAGTACATTTTGATGGTTTATTGTTTGTGTTTTGGGACATATTCCATAAGGATTAACTGATTTTTAACATGCTACCAACAAAATAATAATAATAAGAAAAAAAAAAAAAAACAGTAGAGACCCACAGAAGCAATACAAATAAAGCCAATGGAATTTATATAATGACTATTAAAACATTACAAAAGCAGTAGAACTTGTGTGATGATTTAGCTACAGGCCTATTGTTTTTTTTTCTTCAGCAGCTTAGCACATCCTAAACTAAACACAGTTTCATTCATTTTCTTTTCGACTTAGTCTTTAATCATGGCTTTACCTTATCCACCATATGTTTTAGGCAGCGGATGTCCATTTAGCTGCAACCCATCACTGGGAAACACCCATACACTCTCATTAACACGCATACATTATTAATAATTTAGCTTCCGCAATTCACATATAGTGTATGTCTTTGGACTTATGGGAAAACCGGAGCATCCGGAGGAAACCCACGCAAAAATATGGAGATGCAAATTCCACACAGAAATGCCAACTGACACGGCCGAGGCTCGAACCAGCGGCTTTCGCGCCACCTAAACACATTTAGTCTTTTTTTTTACTATCAATTATAGTTATATAGTTCCACCACATCGTCACAAGTATTCTAAAGTGTCTTTGCTTTTTGTTTAACCTTTTGCAGTTCAGTCACGGTCACTGCACAACCTCCAGTCTTCCCGCGTCCTGCGCAACCTCGACCATCCGTACTCCATGACAGAAAACGCCAAAATTCTCCCGCGCTTTCCCGAGGATAAAACTATGGAGGAGATTGCGTCGCTTCTGGGAAGACTTCACAGGAGACCTCAATTCACGGAGTACGACCCCGAGTCTCACAATCATAGTTTCGACCAGCATGACGAGCACCATCACGGAGACCCCATAACCGGACACGTAGCGACGGTGACCTTGAATCCACGGCGCGGCTCCAGGCGGAGTCCTCATGCTGATGATATGTGATGGGCAGAAGGGGATTTAACCGGGGATTTGTCAAAACGCCTTCTGAAGACGGGAGCCAGCTCAAAGATTGCTGGAAGCTTTTCTTTTTCTTCTTTCTGCAAAATCTTCAGGAGATAGGCCTAAAGTAAATATTTGCTTTTTATTATCAGACTTAGGATTGAAAATAAGTCAAATTTATTTGTTTATCATCTCATTTTTAAACTTGACCCCCCCGCCAAAGAAAAAAAAAATTACCATGGATTTATATAGAGTCTATTCCTTTTTTTTTTGCCATATTTTCAATCATATTTATACATTTAACGGGAAAAAGATGCTTAATGTGCTTTAATGTGATTTATAAAGACCAAACTTTATTAAATATATTCTGTGTGCAGATAGGCAGATTAACTAAGAATATGAACATTATATAAACGTTATACAATATAAAAGTTTTCCTCTCATAAATGAGAAAATGCTTGCTTTATGCTTTAGGAAAATGATATAGGCTACAGACCAAATTTGATATATAATACAAATATATGTAATATGTGTGTATATATATACATAGGCATAGGCATATGATTAACATATTTTAACATATGTATTTATAATATAATTCATTAAAACATATGGATAGGGTTGGACGGACAAAAAAAAAAAAAATCGACCCTGGCATTTTGGGACAAAGCGGCCCACTTCATTTAATCAAAATGCTACCCATCTGCATGCCCTGGAATATCTTTACCAACTACCATTATATAAAAGCACAAAAGCCATATATAGGAAATAATAAGAGTTAAAAAAAAAAAAAATTATGATTATATAAAATTTTAATCCACACTGGAACTAAATCTTGTGTGTGCCTGTGTGTTTTGAGGGAGCTTATATTAAATAATGAACATAACAAAAACTGCCTGCTGACGCACACCGTTATCGTTGATTAATAAAGTAAAGATAAATAATAAAAGCAATGCACCAGAGACCCTTAAAGAATGTTTAACTCAACAATGAAACATCAAACATAGCTTAAACATTGTATATAGTCAATCAAATGAACCTAAACAATTAAAAAAGGCAACAAAAATTTGTTTGGGCCCGAACTACAAAACTAAATGTAAAAAAAAAATGTATTAGTTTTGTTTAAGTTGCACACCAGTTTGGTCATGTATAAATGTCATTAAAACCATTGTATAAATATTATTGTAACAATATAGGCCTACATCATGCTGACGATCAAAAACAAAATGACATGATATCTCATGCGATTGCCTTCTGACCGAGTGTTCTTAAAATACATGAATGACACTCCACATAGAGCTTGAAACGCATACAGTTCTTTATGATCTAAATAATTTGTAAAATAAAGACTTGCAAGTTAAAGAAACAGCATAGGAGGAAGTTGCTGCGGACCTTGGTGAAGATGAAAAGTAAAAAAAAAAAGTATTTTAAAGTATTTATATAGACAGATAGCGTCCCACTTTATATTAAGTGTCCTTAACTACTATGTACTTACATCAAAACATAAATACAATGTATTTACTGTGCTTATAATGTAATTGAGAACACTTGTGGTGCTTTTGAGTTGGGATAGAGGTTGGGTTATGGACAGGTTTGGTGGTATGGGTAGGTTTAAGGGTGGGTTAAGGTGTAAGGGATGTACAACAGTGTATTTACAAATGTAATTACAAAAGTTAAATACAGATGTAATTACATACATGTATTTAATCAAGCATAAGTACACAGTAAATACATGTATTTGCACAATAAGTACATTGTAACAAACTAATAATTCCTGTGTAAGAACACATTAGTTAAGGCCACTTAATATAAAGTGGGACCCAGATAGCTAACTAGATCGAATAGACAGAAATATATTGATCTTTGCAAATGTCTGCTCGCAGCTTCTGCTTTCCATACATGTGTGTGGGGCGAGAAACAGGCGTGACTCTCGACTATTTTGCAAATACACACCGACGTTGCACGCGCTTACAGAGCCCAAAAGTTTGTGATTGGGTCAGCCCAATGTCAATAAAGAAAAGAACCAATGGGCTGCAGATTATGTCTGAAAAAAAAAACATCTTACTTTCACAGATCACAGCATCGTCAATTAATTAGGCAGAAAAAATGACTGTCTGCTAAGTGTTTTATGGGCCGATCAGATCATAAGAAGATGATCAGCCCGGCCAAAAAAAGTACGTCAGCCCAGCGGGAAACAGCCCGGTCTGCTAGATGGCCAGTCCGTCCCTATATGCTCTATGTCCAGAAAAGAAAATGCAACCCCCAAAATTGTAACTTAAAAGTCTCATAAAGTGCTTTGAAATGGAAATTTTTTATTCGATATTTGACCTAATTTTAACTAAAACATATCATATAATTTTCGGAACACTGAGCAGCCCGTCCGCTTTTAAAACAACCAATAGCGTTTCGTTTTCTATCACAACTCTTCCGGTGAGAGTGGTTGAGTTCAATTGCATCAAATGAAAGGCAATTGACAAATGTCTTGAAGGGGGGCGGGGCATGTCAGATACCAGAGAGTATTTGATTGGTCAGAAGATTTGATGTGAGGTGATGTCAATAATATCGCTGATCTATTTAGTAGGTAGAGGTGAAAATGCAAAGTTTTTTTGTGTCTTCTAATTGCTAAATTAGTCTAAATGCTAGTTTTGTAGCACGCTAGCTTATAGATAGTCCTAAGGCAAAATATAAACAATACCATTGTAAAAACTTGATTTTAATCTCACAGTTATTTTAAGCGCTTTCCTCATACAAACCATTGCTATATAGGCTCATTCTTAAAATGTAGCCCTATATACATTTCTGGAGATTGTGAATTATGTAGCCAGAAATATGTATGGCTGTATTTCATCTTTAAAACGAAGCTATGGGGCGGTATGACCCTGTTCCTTTTCGCGCTTACTAGCTGAACTTTATTCCCACTGTTACCAGTTTGTCCAGTAGCTCATCATGTACATCTGCGTTCTTGAAATGGAGAGAGGAGTTGACCATGATGACTCCAGAAAGCGGTTAAGACAAAAAAAGAAGCCAAAAAATAAAATAAACAAGTAAATAAGAGGGTGAGAGTGTGGTAAAATGTGGTAATCAGGCGAGGGATTTTGTTTTTCTGGATTGCTTTTGGTTTTGAAAACACTATTGATTGGATTTAGGGAAGGAGGAAAGTGGGTCATTCAGTCAGTCAGTCAGTCAGTCAGTCAGTCAACAGCAGCCTCTGGTGAATTTATGCGAGAACAGAAGGCGTGAATGGCACTCACGAGAGAAATTTGAGATTCTCAAAAAACATACACAGCAGCCTCTGGTGGATTCGCGAAAACAAAAACTGCACAAAAAAAAAAACTTAGCTCCTGGGATGTATTTGGCGCTCTCCAAAATTGTATATAGAGATACACTTTCAGAATGAGCCTGGGTTAAACCATTCATGTGTAGAATTAACAGCTTCGCCATGTTAAATATCAGACCACTGGATGACGTAATTAACCCCTCAGGATAAGGTATTAAAGTCTGCCTTGTAAAAAGTGTATATACAGTCATTGAATTTGAGTCAAAAGTTGAATTTAAAAGTGTATGATTTTCAAAAATTGGTGAATGCAAGCCAATCTGACTATTTGTACAAATGAATTAGCATGGTAATTCAGATTTAAATAGACCAACTTTATATTTATTTCACATTATTTTATGTTTTCATTGTATATTTTAGAAAGAAAAAAATATCCTGGTTGTGAATCACTTTTGGCTTTAATGTATATATTAAGGTTGTGATAACCTAGTATAGTAGTAGTGGTTTTTTTTATCACTTATAATGAAGCAGAGGTGAATAAATAACACAGAATCACGCCATTCCAATTCATGAATTTTACATTTTGAATCCTTCAGCACATTTTTCCTAAAGAAGTGCCTTGTGTTTGTCTTGTCTTTAAAGACAGTTTTGCTTTTTTGGTATTAATCTGAAGGCTGATGTAATTTTTTTATGGACTAAGAACAAGTTGGTGTGCATAAATTGCTTTTGATAACAAATGTGCTTTTTCAATAAAATCACAGCGTGCTGAACTGTCTTTCGACCTACTTTATCGGTTTGCATTGATGTATTTTCCCCAGATAAATGTTTTAAATTGTGTCTTTATGAAATGGACAACACTCTGTCTTCATCTCTGGGCTGACATCAACAAATAAATGCTTTTCAGCACAATTTGGATGTCACGAGAGACAGAATGAGGCCAGTGCAGATGTGAAGAACAGGTGAACAACCCATCTCAGGAAAAACAAATATGATCATCCCTGACAAATACAGGTTTTCATGTGGATAGTCCCGTCTTCAAGGTAAAGGCACTTCATGCTGCACGCTCAGATGAATAACTTGTGTAACACATGAATGAATCAATACATAAATGTCAACTTCAACTTTTTCTTCAGCTTTTTATGGGCTGTAAAGTGAATAGACTTCAGCCCTCAGGACTGACAATACAGTGTAGGAAGTGTTTCAAGCCATTTCCAATAAGAAATCTCTGAGAAAATACAATAAATGTACACTCACCGGCCACTTTATTAGGTACACATTACTAGTACCGGGTTGGACTTCATTTTGCCCTCAGAACTGCCGTAATCTTTAGTGGCATGGCTTCAACAAGGTACTGGAAATATTCCTCAGAGATTTTGGTCCATATTGACATGATAGCATAACGCAATTGCTGCAGATTTTTCGGCTGCACATCCATGAAGGGAATTTCCCATTCCACCACATCCCAAAGGTGCCCTATTGTATTGAGATCTGGTGACTGTGGGTGACTCATTGTCATGTTGAAGAAACCAGTCTGAGAGGATTCACACTTTATGACATGGCACGTTATCCTGCTGGAAGTAGCCATCAGGAGATGGTACAATGTGGTCATAAAGGGATGGACATGGTCAGCAATAATACTCATCATTGACACAATGATCAATTGGTACTTTTGGGCCCAAAGTTTAACAAGAAAATTTCCCCCACACCATTATACCACCACCACCAACCTGAACCGTTGATACAAGGCAAGATAGAGCGATGCTTTCATGTTGTTGACCTTCCATCCAAATGTTGCAGCTGAAATTGAGACTCATCAGACCAGGCAACATTTTTCCAATCCTCTATTGCCCAATTTTGGTGAACCTGTTCGAATTGTAGCTTCAGTTTCCTGATCTTAGCTGAGAGGAATGGCACCCAGTGTGTTTTTCTGATGCTGTAGCCCATCTGCCTCAAAGTTCAGAGATGCTCTTCTGCATACCTTGGTTGTAACGAGTGGTTATTTGAGTTACTGTTGCCTTTCTATCAGTTTGAACCAGTCTGGCCATTCTCCTCTGACCTTTGGAATGTAAACTCTAGAGATGGTTGTGCGTGAAAATCCCAGTAGATCAGCAGTTTCTGAAATACCCAGACCAGCACGTCTGGCACCAATAACCATGCCATGTTCAAAGTAACTAAAATCATCTTTCTTACCCATTCTGATGCTCGGTTTGAAGATAATCTTTACCATGTCTACATGCCTAAATTAAGTTACTGCTATGTGATTGGTTGATTAGAAATTTACATTTCTTAGCAGTTGGACAAATGTACCTAATAAAGTGGCTGGTGAGTGTATGCAACATCAAGCATAATGTTTCTTAGAATAACTTTTTTCAGTCAATAACTTTGTCTAAACTTCCGTGCAAAAAACAGAATTCAGTAGATTTTGATAAAGATTATTCTGTGCCTGAAGGTTTCTGTCTTACTCAGTGCCTCTTTAATCATGAAGAGAGACAAACTTGGATCTTTCATCCCACCATCATCCCCCTTGGGCCCCTGACCTCCAGTGTGCACATCTATTTTACTTTAAACAGACTGTCAAGAGAGCTGCAGTTTTAGTTGATTAATCTGCCATTGATTCGATGCACAAAGTTTGTAGAGATACATTTCAGACTCTTCACTCCGCAGGGCAAAATCCGCAATCCTTGGCTCAGTAATCTTTTAAATTAACCCAACAGCTAAACAAAAGAACCAGTAGTCTGAAATCAATAAGTTATTGTGTGGATTTCTGAGTTATTTTCAAGAAATGTGGATTGCAATTAAAAGTGGCTGAATGTGGAAAAAACCTTCTGTGTGACCTGAGTCATCATGAAATGAGAAAGTCTGAAACAAATTTGCACTGAATAAATTGGCACGGTGAGAGATTAAGAAAAAAAGAGTGTGGAGAGCAACATTTTAATACAATTGTTATTAATTACAGGGTACATTATATATATGTTTAAAATGGAATTTTTGTATTATATAATATACTAAAAATAATAAGTATTAGATTAAGTTGAAAAGGTATTTTGCTTTAAGTACATTTTTTTATTAAATACTAAATAAATGCTTACAATTGTTGGATAGAGAAACTACAAATAAACTATTTTACTTATTAATTATTTGTGTGTTTGTGGGCAGGTTTACAGTCTATGGAGTTAACTTGTTAACAAAGGTTCGGCAGTGGGACCATGCCTCACTTGGCTTCCTTAACCAATCAACTACTCCCTAAAACTTATTTAAGGCAGACCGGCCCTCTAACACTGTTCTTCTCGTTCTCTTGAACCCATCCATCCTCCCTCCCTCTATTTACTTGCTTCCCATTAACATTCCTTATAACCCTCTCTTCCCTCCTAGGTTGAATCTTGGGATGCAATCACAATATTACAATTCTGTTTTGAGTCCCCATGTTTGCATGGGTTTCCTCTGGGTGTTCTGGTTTCCCCAAAGACGCGCGGTATATGTGAATTGGATGAACTAAATTGGCTGTAGTGTGTGAATGACGTACTAGTACTAGTACAGTTCCAGTATAGATTGTAGCTAGAAGGGCATCTGCTACGTAAAACATTTGCTGGAATAGATAGCGGGTCATTCCGCTGTGGCAACCCCCTGATAAATAAGGGATTAAGCCGAAGGAATCCTTTCTTCCTTGATGTAATGTGTGTGTTACAAAAAAGTAAACAATTTAAAGCTTGATGTAACATTTGAAATTTAAGAAATGAACAACCAAAAGCTCAAATAGCATTTATATTTTCAATAGCACATTTCTTATGTAGTAATAAATAAGATGAAGGGATTCAGTTTACCTTAATGCAAAAAGTACTTACGTGCTAATTTAGCAAATCAAGTTAAAAAAATCACAAAATGGAACTGAAGCTACTTAGCTTCGTCCGTTTGAATTTTAAAACTTTAAAATTCACCAGTATGAAACAAAACAAAACACGTAAAGCTAGTGTTTCATTGAGCACCGACTGATTGTATGTGTCTGACATAAAAGCGGCGCGTGCCTGAGTGGAGCGCGGACGCGCGTCATGCTCAGCCGAGTATAAAAGAATGTGCGCGCGCGCGGCAGAGCTCAGAGATGCGAGAGTGTGTGTGAGAGAGAGGCAGACTGATGAAACCGCGCTCTCGCTGCCGGTGAAGTATTATTCCCGCAGGGAGACAAAGTGAGACGGTCACAATGAACTTGAGATAAATTAGATGAATGGATTTGTTTCTCCGTTTACATCCTTTGACCATGACAACGGACTGAGTGGGAGTCTGAAATGGAGAGGAATAACACCACACAAACTCTGGGAGAATGTGAACACACACTGGAAACCAGTGCAGTGCTGGACAACTGCACAGACGCAGGCTCTGGAAACCTGTCTTTACGTTGCTGGTTGCATTTGTTGACAAAGGAGTCAAGTTCAACACTTCAAGGTGATGGGTCTAGTTTGGCTGTGCGTGTGATGATCGCCCTCATTTATTCAGTGGTTTGTGCTCTGGGACTTGTAGGCAACTCTCTTGCACTCTACCTACTACATTCACGCTACCGGCATAAGCAGTCTTCCATCAATTGTTTTGTGATGGGTTTGGCTCTAACAGACCTGCAGTTTGTCCTAACCCTGCCGTTCTGGGCTGTAGACACCGCGCTGGACTTCCGCTGGCCCTTTGGCAAAGTTATGTGCAAAATAATCAGCTCTGTCACCACTATGAACATGTACGCCAGCGTGTTTTTCCTGACTGCCATGAGCGTGGCAAGGTACTACTCCATTGTGTCCTCGTTGAAGATGCACAGTCGCAGAGCAGCAGCAGCTGCGGCCAAGTGGATCAGCCTGGGCATTTGGGTCGTATCCCTAATAGCGACGCTCCCACATGCCATTTATTCCACAATCGCCCAGGTCGCAACAGACGAGGAACTATGCTTAGTACGCTTCCCCGAAACAGGAAGCTGGGACCCGCAGTTGTTGCTAGGACTGTATCAGTTGCAAAAAGTCCTACTTGGTTTCCTGATCCCATTAGTGGTGATAACCGTATGCTATCTCCTACTATTAAGAATTGTGTTAAGTCGCCGGATTAGTGGTGTGGCTGGCTCTGAAAGTGAGCAGGGCAGACACAAGCGTCGCTCCAAAGTGACCAAATCTGTTGTTGTCGTCGTCCTGTCCTTCTTTTTGTGTTGGCTGCCCAATCAGGCCCTAACTCTGTGGGGCGTCCTCATTAAGTTTGACCTCGTGCCCTTCAGCAAGGCATTCTACAATGCGCAGGCATACGCTTTCCCGCTGACTGTGTGTTTGGCCCACACAAACAGCTGCCTCAACCCGGTGCTTTACTGTTTGATCCGTCGTGAATTTCGTGCCGGACTTAAAGAACTCCTGCTGAGGGCCACACCGTCCTACCGAAGCCTTGCTCGGCTGCTCCCGCGCAAAGCCAAGGTGGCCGAAGCGCCTCCTGTGCTGGTTCTTGTGCAGATGGATGTTTGATTCTTCACTTTGTTTTTTTGATTGACAGGACGAAGCAGGCGTGAGGAGCGTCCTTTGGGAGCTGCCCCACTTTCCCTTCCTCATGTTCCTGAGCACTTTTTGCGCATTTTTCTTTCTCTCCCAATTTCCTTCATACCTTTTGACGCACAGCTATTTTCACATGAACCTTTGGTCATCAAGAGCCGCTGGGGGATTCAGGACCCATTCACCTTTTTTTGCTTTGCTGCATATTGGCAAGGATTTTTTTTAACCGTGAAACATGTTTGAAGGGGGAGTTAAATTATCTATATGTGTTTTTCAGGCTTTGAGAGAAAAAAAAGAAGAAAAAGAAAGCTGGTGAGATATTGATGAACTCAGCTCTGTTCTTATTTAATGAGATATAAAAGTTTGATATGTGAAGGGGTTCGCTGGTTAATCCATCAATCATTTAATACATTGTCAATTATGAATTTACTTGAAGTCGTGTACACTTTTTAAAAAATTCGTCTGTCAGTGTATTTAATTCTTATGTTGTACAAAAGAAGATTAAACAAATAAAATACCAAACTATGTAGCTAACTAACAACATCATAAATGTGTGAATGAACAATCGAACTGTGCAACTATTGATTTTTTTTCTCATTTCAACTGGATTGTCTGAATAATTAAATTGATCACAAACTATATTTTGTTATAAATTCAGAGCAAGAGATGGCATGTTTGAATCAAGTAATGCCACAAAAATATTTTTGCTAGTTTAAAATGAGCTGAATCAACATAATTATTGAGGATTTTTTGGGACAACGTAATTGTTTTATGTTCAATCTACTTAAATTTGTTAAAACAATTAAATTAACTTAATCGATTTGTGTTAGGACAAAATTAAGGAATTGTGGGGAACCCAGCATTTTTTACATTGTACACTCCAAAAAATATATTTTTGCTAGTTGTTCAAAACTACGCATTCAAAATCAGCTGAATCAACACAATTCTTGAGTTTTTTTTGGGACAGCTTAATTGTTTTGTGTTTAATCCACTTAAATTTGCAAAAACAATTATGTTAACTTAATCGATTTGTGTTGGGACAACATAAAGGAATTGAGTGGAACACAGCAATCTTTTGCAAAGCCATATCATTTCAACTGTCTTTTATGTTTAGAAAATGTTTAGAAGATATTTATCAAAATGTCCAAGCTGCTCTCTTTGTAATAATTAAACTGACTGGGGGTCTGGCTATCTACACTGTAAAGCCCCAAAAGTTATAGTAACTCAAACCATTTGAGGAAACCGATTGCAAAAAACCATTTAAGTTCAAAAACTAATCCTAATGAGTACTCTGAACTTGATCCATTTGAGTAAACGAAGCAATCTGAGCACAGTAAAACCCAATAAATGAAGAGAACTCAAACCAACTGAGTGCTGTAAAACCCAATAAGTTAAGGCAACTCAAACCATTTGAGTAAAAAAACTAATCTATTTGAGTACTGTGAACTTACTTCATTTAAGTTGAAGTAATGAGGTATTAAATTAACTCATTAAAATCAACACTGCAGTTCAAAACTCCTCAAATGAGTAGAATCAACTTTCAGGTAATATTGAGTTAACTACACTCATTTCATTTGATAAAGTTAACTGTTGGGTTTTACAGTGCAGTATAAAATCACACGAATGTTTGTATAAAATCACATGAAAGTTTTTTTATGTGAGGAGTGGGCTGAAATTTAAATCAGTAAAACCACATAATAGTTTTGTTCATCACTGACTTCCATTGTATGGAAAAAAACTGCTTTTGTTCATACAGGTTTGGAAAGATTAAGGTGGAATCAATATTAACAGAAATGGTTTGCTGAAAGCTTTCTTACGTCAAATATATCCTCAGGGACCTCATCAAAAATGCTTTGGCGTAAAATATCTTTCTGGGAACGCACAATGAATCATTTTTGCACTGTGAAACCCATTCCTAAGCCATCAAACAGAATAAAAATCTTTATGGGATAATTAGTTATCAGTTTTGTGCCAGAAAAACAACATTATTCATTTTTAATTAGTTTTTTTTCAGTTATTTATTTGTTCAGTACTCATTACAGACACTGCTGGGGGTTTTTAATTTTAAATAATTTTGGTTCCACCAAATACGCATACTTGCACATGCCTTGCACGCAAGAGGAATACTTTACAATAAAACAGTTTCAGCCTAGCACCATTAATCATTAGTCCTGCAATCTTCTGAAACTCTTCAAGGGCAATGTTCCTCTGACCGAACCATTTTAGATGAGACACAGATGAATTTAGGCTACGTTCGATGTATGCCTGCAATGACAATGCCAGGTCATGATAAAAGGGGAACACAGAAGCACTTTTTTGGTTATCTGTTCACAATAATTGCCTGGTAAAATGACACAGATCATTAAATAGCATGTTTAACCAACTCATAGAATTAGAAAAACACTGATGGAAACCGTGGCTACAAGTTCAGTTATTAATCTACTACTTATTAACATAAATAAATATATAAAGAGTTCATATTATTAACAGAGAGTCACCCCGGCTGAGTTTCTCTGTCTAGGTGTTGAGGGCATGCAGATGAGCCGGTGCGAGGGACCATTAATGAGCCGAACTGATTTAAAGATCTGAATCTGAACTCACTGGGCTCTATAATTACTTGTGGTGACATTTTGGCCTAAACTCAGAGTCGGTGTTGAGCTTTGTTGTCAGTATATTGAAGCCCTTGGGGTGTGTTTTTGCTTGCTGAACTTCCTTTACTGTCAGTATAAAGTGTTTAATTAACTTTTAATGTTATTATGTTGTTTGTAAAAATGTCTGTAGATCAACAACTACAACTACAACAACATGAAAAATAAACATTGCATACATTTTGATATAAATAGTGATCTAAAGGTGTAATTTATTTCATTCACATTTAAGATTCATTTCATTCAAGAGTGTTTGTAAAAATATGTTAGGCTACTTTCAATTTTCAATATTTTGAACAAAAATGTAAACCTTGATTTGGATAAAATGGTGATCAAAATTGATTTACCACATTTACAAGGGTTTATCCACAAAAAAAAAGATTTTAAAAAGTTTTTTAATTCATATAACACATAACTAATACATCTTGCTGATTAAGTCAATATAGAAGAAAGCAATTGTGTGCATCCACACCACTAGGTGTCAGTATCAGTTGAAATTCCCATTTACACTGGTGCATATGTGTTTTAAAAAGCATATGTTTTATAGTTGCAACTGGCATCAACATTAGCAAATTAGACATGCCAAAACTAAGCCTTTCATGCAATGATATTACGTATCACTCCCTGATTCGTCAAGCTCCTCTCATATGACCATTACACAACCAGTATGGATGCTGGCAAAATATAGGCATGCTTAGTGAGAATGAATGCGGACGTGTTATGCAGTTTAGGCTGTATAGCATGGACAGAGGTCATATTCATGAAACACAATAAAAATGTCAGTCTGTATAAGGAGTGTTTTTCATTCTAAAATGCAGTATTGAATCGTATATGTAAATGTCACCTAAGTGACACCAAATAAGTCATAAACGTCAAATCAAGAATATCTCTTGTTGATTAATTAATTGATTCACTCTGTTAAACTTATAATGGATTTTCAACCCAGGCTTATTCTGAAAACGTACCGCTATATACATACATTTCTGGAGAGAGCCAATTATGTCCCAGGAGGTAAATTTTTTGCATTTTTTTTTCGTGAATTCACCAGAGGCCGCTGTGTACACTTTTTCAGAACTCAAATTTCTCTTGCGAGTGCCATTCATGCTTGCTGTTCTTGGGTAAATCCACCAGATAATGTTTTATAAGCAACGATTGACCCACACACCCACTTCCCTTTATTGTTTTAAAAAGCAATCCAGAAAAAGAAAAGCCCCAGCCTGATATTTACCACAGTCTCACCTTGCTATTTACTTGTTTATTTTATTTATTTTTCATTCTTCCCCACTTTCTGGAAACGTCCTTCACCGGATTCAAACCCTGTTGTTGTAGTCAACTCCTCTCTGCGTCTCAAGTCCACCAACGTACATGACGAGCTAACTGGACAAACTGGTAATAGTGGGAATGCTGTCTATGCGGAGGTAAGCAGTCAGGTGGTAAGTGCGTAAAGAAATGACTCTGTAGTTTTCATTTTAAAGACAAAATGCAGCCCTACGTACTTCTGGTACATGATTCACAATCTCCAAAAATGTATATACGTACGGCTACGGTTTCAGAATGAGCCCATGTGGGGGATTTTATTTCCACACCACTAGGTGTCAGTATAAGTGCAAGATGAATACTATGTTATTAGGAACAGCCAAAAAAGCCATATTAGCACAAATAAAACCAACATTTTGTGTTGATTATGGCTACATTCTGCCGAAACATAAATAAAAACAATATTTTTTAATTAAATACCGCAACAGAATTTCTAAAACGACGCTGGAAACCGAAAAGATCTTGCATCCACAACACCAGGTGGCAGTATCAGTCAAATACACAAACAAGAGAGTCAAAGTAGTCGTAATTAAATCTCTTTTTAATTATGGCTACAACATTTTGGAAATAACACTAATACTTGAAAAGCTTGGCATGATATTGCATTCACACAACTAGGTGTTTGTGTCAGATCAGGACAGAATATATTTTTAACAGTAGAAAAATACTAGAAAGTGTTTAAAAACAGTCATACCAAATTGTCTCCATACTTTATTTATTTATACTTCACTTTTATTTATGATCACATTGTTTGTTCCTCCTTAAATATAATAATTTAGACACACCTTATAAAAACTAAAATTGAAAATAAAATAAAAGGTAAATTTAAAAAAATTACCAATTTAAATGAATGGCCTATACAGAAATTATGCGAGAAAAAGACTCATTTTTTATTTGCTGTATTTAAATATTGATTAAAGTTATTGTAGTTATTTAGTAAAAAAAAAAAAGCAGCGAGTCTCTCATTTTGACACACTGTTTTGTTATATAACAGATGCGTCACTTTAAAAA